TCTCATCCCGTCTTATTTCCATTTCCCTGTCTCTTGGTTTACGCCCTGAGACACTGAGGGAAAGAAACATTCTTAGCCAGATTCTTAGTGCTTTGCTTAAGGCAGAGCTCCATGAACACCCATGAAACAAAGACCACTGTTCAGAAAGGAATGGAGACAGCTATCCTTTTAAATCCTTATTGTTTCTTCTAGGAACTTAGAAGTGAAAAGCAGCAGTTGGGCTGGAGAACATAAATTGTCATAGTGTCAAGGAGGATCTTTGGATACATCTATTTGTGGTTAGTGTAAGGAACGTGTGCATGATGCAAGTTATGACATTTTATCAGCAAATAAATAAAGGAGAAGCCAAACTCAGGAAGAGAGGGAAAGAGCATGATCCCTCATTGAAAATGATCATGTTTGTCACTAGCTTGTTTCCATAATCACCTCAAATATTATTGCTTTCTGTGGATTTTGAGTAATGGTTTTCTATTGAAATTGGGTGAAGGAATGAGAAATGTATTGGCTAATGCACACGTCTTCCCCAGATGAGACTTTTTTTTTTCCTTAAAATGAAGGTAATAATCCTCCTCACAAGCCCTTTTTATGGTTATTAAAGGAGAGCTAAAAAGTCCTTGGTTGGAGGCTTGGATTATGATGCTAGAATTCAACATCTAAATGTTTTCTTGCAATCTTTGTACCCCCACTTCTAACTCCCTTTATGTTGGAAACTAGTAATCTTCTTTTGCGTTATTGTAAAAGGCAGGGCCTATTGGTATGATAGTTGGTAGGACATACTGTGTTACAGAAGGACCTGATTTGGATGTCAGAGCAACCAGCCCGCCTTTGGTACATTATTTGAAAACATTTTCTGAGAAAGGAAGACTTCGATTTTTAAAAGCTGTAATTTTGAAACGTGTCTGCAATATTTTAATTTTATCTTTAAAGAAAGAACCCAAACAATGCTGATGCTATTGTCTTATCCTGAATCCTTTTCCTGGGTTTCTTTTCAGTGTGGTTGTGATCAACTGAATTTTACAGTTACGTGTTCTCCAGGGTTTGTGTGTGTTGACTTGCAGTGTTTTCTCATGCCAGGAAACAATGTCATGAGAACCATTCATGGGGTGGGAGAGATGATGACCCAGATGGTACTCAGTAGAGGCTCAATCTTCCCCATGAGCATGCCAGATGTGCCACCCAGCATCCACCCGAGCAAACAAGGGAGCCCTGCTGAGAATGAGGATGTGACTGTGATGGACACCAAGCTGAAGATCATTGAGATTTTACAGGTGTGTTGCCTAACGGAAGCTAGGTGACAAAGATGTCATTTTGCTTATTGGTTTAACTTCTTACACATTTTGTTCCAAATCACCGTGTAAGTATTCTGAAATGCTATCAATAGAATTTTTTTTTTTAAAGTTAATGACAAGCCTGGTAAGAAATCTCACACAGACACTATTTGACATATGAATCGTGTTTGTCCATTCTCATTAAATATACTAATGATAATATCTAATAATTGTGGGGTGCTTTGAGGTTAATAAAGTGCTTTCATGTGTATTTAAAAATAAATTTAGTATTGACTCTGATTGAATTTTACCTTCATTTGAGATGGATTTTAGAGCAAAAAGTTATTTGATTTATTTCCAACTCTTTTCCTATTTTTAATTGAATTGAACATATGATTCCATATGTCCAGATTTATTGTCTTAGTAAGAAACACAAAATTTTATTTATTATTAACAAAAATTATTATTTATTGGTTCTGGTATTTTACATGTGACAATCTCTCTGCATTTTTGTTTCTAAAGGACAAAGAATAACTGGAAAAAAATAACCTAATCTAATGCTTAATTTTAAGAATTTAAAGGAGATAATTTATTATTTCATGCCCATTGGCTTAGTGAATAAGCCTCTCATTACTGTAGCTATGAATTCTTAGCAGTTTTTAAGTTTGGAAAATACTTTTATGATACCTTAATTATAGGATTTATTCCAGATTTGGAGGATGGAGAACCTATTAGGAATCTGGGTACAGTTGACTGTGTCTTTCATCATAATTTCATATAGACTGAGCTACCAGAAGTGGGTTAGGAGTCCTGGAAGTGTCTGTACGTTGTTCATTTACAGTAATTAGATTTATAATCATAAAAAGTTTCACAGTTCCTCTAGGAATTCCAAAGGCTGAATCCTGAGAAATATTGGCAGGCCTCCCAATGCTGTGTTCATGACCCTGAAAAATCACTTAAAGTTTTCCTGTTCTCAAACTGAGAAAGGTAACGATCACCTGACCCGTGGACCTACTGAGCCGCAGCTTAACATTACCCGACTCATGGGACAAACTCTAAAATATGTGACCTCATTTTAGCCTACAGTTACAGAAAAGAAACATTAGAAAAACAATCTCCAATAGCTAAAAAAAAATGATGAGATGGAGCTTCTACATCTCAGCAGTCCAGGGTTGATTCATTTCTGCAGCTTCTCCTTGAACCTTTTTTTATTCTGATTTTCTGTCCCTGTGTCTGAGTCGACTTCACCGTGCCTATGTGCCTGAGTACTGCTTCTGGATGTGTCTTTCTTAGAATGGCTCTTCCAAGAATTTCTTTGTAGGCACACTCCTCGGTGCTACAAGGACTTCAAGGTCCTGTGCCTTGTGCCAGCTCTTTTCTTCCTGTTGGTCTTTTTCCCCATCACTTTGTATATCTCTCTTAGTCTCTCTCTTTTCTTTTTTCTCTCATTCTCCCTCTCCCTCTCTTAACTCTCTTTCTCTGCTTTCTTTTTTTATCCTTCCCTTTCCTCTTTTCTTCTAGTTTGCACTTGTTTTTCCTTATAGGCGTATTAGAAAATGAAAGTTTTAATTTTGATTGTATTTATGGAATACAATTCTGTGTGTAATCATCTTCAACTGGAAGTTAGTGTTTCCTTTGTTTATGATTTATCCTTTACTTTTAAAAATGGGATTTTAGACACCGTTCCCTGTGAAGCACCTGCAGTTCAGCTCTGCCCCCTGCCTTCTGCTCGTGGCTACTGAATTCTACGCCCTTTCTCAGTCCTCTTCCCATGGTCTGTCTCCTGCTCTGCAAATCCCTTTGCTACTTAGAATCAGTTCAACAAATACGTTTGCAGCCCTCACCACACGCTAATAAGAGTCTCTGGTGTTTGTTTTCCCCTCTAGCCTGTAAGTTCTCTAAGGCAGGATTTAGATCCTCAGCACCTTTTTAATGCCCTTGGTGCCTTCCTCAATACCTTGTTTAACGCATGTCAGGTGAATTAACCAGCTTAGCACAACTGACAACATCCTATGGAGGATGTTTCCATAAAAAGCTTAAAAGTCTAGCAAAGGAGAGAGAGAGAGAGAGACTGAGACACACAAAGGGAGGGAGGGAGGAAAGGAGAGAGATTGATTCAGATTATGACTGGGGAACCAGTGAATGATGCATTAAAAAAGAATTCAAACTGGATCTTGGAGGATTTTTTTTTTTTTTTTTTTTTTTTTGAGGCAGGATCTTGCGGTGTCATCCAGGCAGGAATGCAGTGGCACAGTCTTGGCTCACTGCAGCCTTGACCTCCCGGGCTCAGATGTTCTCCCACCTTAGCCTCCATAGTAGCTGGGATTACAGGCATACACCACCATACCTGGCTAATTTTTTATATTTTTGTAGAGATGGGGCTTCGCCATGTTTCCCAGGCTGGTCTTGAACTCCTGGGGTCAAGCGATCCTCCTTCTCAGCCTCTCAAAGTGCTGGGATTACAGGCGTGAGCCACTGTGTCGTGACAGAGGATATTTTAAAATGTGATTATTATGAAGTGGAAGAGAATATTCAAAGTAAAGTGGACACTGTGAGTACCTGTAGCGTGGCAAGAGTGGAAGTGCAGGCACTCCAATGCTGTTAGAACCAGGAAATCTGAGAGAGGGGATGAGAGAAGGAGCGTAGGAGGAGGGAGGGATGGGACACAGGTAGTGTAGACAGACATAAAGTTGGATGATACCATGAAATGCCAATCTTCCTAAAACTTGGGTGACCACATTGTTTACTATCCAAATGTGACATGTTTTACAAGGTAGGGGCACCATTAATAATTATGCTGAAACAAAAGGTTCAACAGGGCCTATCTCAGGCAGTCGGGGACAGATGGGACCTATGTAAAACCCCCTCCTGTGATCTGCAGCACATCCCAGCTTTTCCTTCTCCGATTTCTGTTGTATTTAGACCACGTGATTTAGCTCTCAATAGTTTCCTAATTATGCTAACAATGCTATATTTTGTTTCCCGTCTTGACTGTTGGCTTTTTGAGGGCAGTAGGCGTCACGTGTTTGCATTCCCTGTGGCACCTAGCAGAGTGTGGGGCCTTGCTAGATATTGAGTTTCTGTCCAAGCGTCCGTGAATACGAACAATGACAGCAACCCAAACCCAAGGAAACACAAACACCAGTGAGGAAAACCCATGGTGTATAGATGCTATTATTTCAACTGTCATTTAGAGCCAGGCTTCAGGACTGATCATGGTATAGTCAGAGTCATACTGTTGTAGCTGAATTCTCACCCTACAGTGTAAGAAGGAGGGTCACATCTCCAACAGTCTCCTCCAAGAGGCAATGTCACTCCACAAAGTGTTCCGTGAAATGACATCATCATTACCTCTTCATCTAGACCCCCACAATGCCTCTATCTGGAATATTCAGAAAGCAATCGTAGGGAGTCACATGTTCTTTCCAAAAATTTCTTTGAGGTTTCACTAACAGCCAGTGGAAATGTATTCCTTTGCTTAGTCTTAAGGCTGACAAACATGTGGCAACTGGTGTTAAAAGTTTCTAACTAGCTCCTTTGAAAGGTTGATACTTCCACTGTTCTTGGTGTGTCATGAATTGCATTTTTAAATACTGTGCTAATGAAAGAAATGTATGTTGTTCTTAATGTCTCTTATAGTTCATACTGAGTGTCAGACTGGATTATAGGATCTCATATATGCTGTCAATATATAAGAAGGAGTTTGGAGAGGACAGCGACAATGCGGAGACATCTGCCAATGGATCCCCAGATACTTTACTACCATCAGGTATCTCTTTGTGACAATATTTACTCTTTGTGACAATATTTACCCTTTGTATTTTGTTTTTCTGAGAACTTGAAAGTATGTATCATATTTTAAAACATAATCATATTTTTTGTGTGTGTTTTTTTATTTTTTATTTTTTTACTGTACTTTAAATTCTGGGGTACATGTGCAGAGCGTGCAGGTTTTTTACATAGATATACACGTACCAACCTGTCATCTATATTAGGTGTTTATCCTAATGCTATCCCTCCCCTAGTCCCCTACCCTCCAATATGCCCCGGTGTGTGATGTTCCCCTCCCTGTGTCCATGTGTTCTTACTGTTCAGCTCCAACTTATGAGTGAGAACATGCGTTGTTTGGTTTTTTGTTCCTGTGTTAGTTTGCTAAGAATGATGGTTTCCAGCTTTGCCATATTTTTATGAGATAAAAGTGTAGATATAATCTCCCCTAATTACATCAAAGAGCTAGACAGATTATGAAATAACTCACCTAGAATGGTGGGGAGGGTGTTTGCTGTTGTTTGTTGCTAACTCCTATGAATGCCTTTTTCTGTGTAATTTTTAAGACTCTATAAGATAGACATACTGTTTATTGTACCATTTTACAGAAGAGAAAACCAAGGTCAAAAAGGTTAAGTTACTTGCTAAAGGTCCTGAAAGTAGTGGAACAAGGATTCCCTTGGAGGTCTCTCCAGCTTCAGAGTCCAAATTTTTCAGCATCATGATATTTTGGTGAAAATCCAAGAGAAGTTTTTCTTCCTGGATCAAAGAGCAATGTGAAATGTAGTCATCAGAAGGATAGGTGTTTTGAAGAGAGGCCATTGCCTGATTCAATAGTAAAGACGTGGCATTCCCTAAAGACCTGAATGTGGTTGTTGGTCTCATTTTGTGTGTGTGGATTTTTTTTTTTTTTAATTTACTTTGTATGGTTATAAACTGGAACTATATTTCAATTTTCACATTTAAAAAGTGTAAAAATGAAGCTTCTTTGTCTCTGAGCGTTGGAGCATAACAACAAAAGAGCACAAATATGATTTAAAAAGTTTGTGACTATTGAAAGGACTTTAGAAAAACTCAGAAATATTAAATTACCATTTTTTTGGACAGGTCAGACCAAGTCATTGTAGGCTGAAGGTATGTCTTATTGAAGATTTAGACAGCTAATGGAATTCTTCTGAGGATAAGATTTGTATACAGATGTGAAACTTCCTTCTAACTGCCACCACTGTGACATTAGGAACTCTTGTCAATCAGCCAGGAATGATTCAGTGGTTACAAGCATGTAGTTAAAATTGATAATAGACCATCTGTCCTGCTGTCTGAATCATTAGTCTCATCAAAAGGCAGCATACCTCTGCAGAAGGACTTGAACTTGCCTAAGCAAGACTTCTTTTCTGGCATGTTTGCAATGGTGTTGTTTTTCTACTTCTCAGAAGTGTAGAACCCCAAAGGGCTATTTCCAGGAATGATATGGCAGAACCAGAAAGTCTTGCTGGCAGTTGCATTGACAGTAGCATAAAAATTATTGACTCCCAGAGGCCAGGCTTCTGGAAACATGAACTTTAAGTGTCAGTAAAGTACCAGAGGGAAAGTCTAGGGACACCCCAGAAAACTTTCTAATTTACCTGATCTCTTTCATTTTTTATATCAGTAAGGGATACCTTTCTGGGGAGAACTGTTTTTCCACTTTTATATCTTACTCTGTTTCTTTTCAAGCTTTGGAATGAGAAGTAAGTGGTGTATTTTATTCTTTGAACATGTTACCTTGACCAGGTATGGTGGCTCATGCCTATAAAACCAGCACTTTGGGAGGCTGAGATCGGGGGCAGATTGGTTGAGCCCAAGAGTTTGAAATAAGCTTGGGCAACATGGTGAAACCTGGTCCCTAAAAAAAAAAAAAATTAGCCAATTGTGGAGGTGCGTGTCTGTGGTCCCAGCTACTCAGGAGGCTGAGGCAGGAGGATTGCTTGAGCCTGGAAGGTTGAGGCTGCAGTGAGTTGAAGTTGTACGACTGTACCCTAGCCTGGGCAACAGAGAGAGGCCCTGCTTCAATAACCAACAAACAAACCAAAAATCCTCGTGTTATCTTTGTAAAGGTATCTTCAAAATGTTAGTGGTGTGGGACAGCAAGGAATCATGATTGGTTCACATAGAGAAAAAAAAAATGTCCTTTCCCACAAGAAAAAGGGATGGAATTTTAGTAGTAGTAAGCTTAGGTAAAAAGACCATGTTGTTTGGAAATAACCACATAATAACAAGGCTCATTATATATATATTTTGATTATTTAAAGAATTATCCTCCTAATATTATCACTCATTTAAATTATATGTAAGTATGTGCATATATGTATATATGATCTATATATATATACACACATACTTCTCTAGACAAGAGGCACCTTTGTAAATGGTGCTTTCTGATCATTTAGACATATTTTGGACTATAGCAATACATGAGTTTAAAACATAGTTTACGTTAAAAAATTACATTGATGTTTTAGTGGAAGTATATTGTGATTTTTTTCAAACTGTTAATTGACCTAAATTTTTTAAAATTTTTGTGGATACATAGTAGATGTATATAGTTGTGTGGGGTATGTGGACTATTTTGATATAGGTATATAATATGTAATAATCATATCAGGATGAATGAGGTATCCATCACCTCAAACATTTGTCTTTTGTGTTATAAATAATTCAATTATAGTCTTTTGGTTATTAAAAATATACAACAAATTATTATTGACTATAGTCACTCTGTATACTAGATCTTATTCATTCTATCGAACTACATTTTTGTAAGCATTAACCATCCCCACTCTGCCCACCCCGCTACCTTTCCCAACCTCTATTATTCTACTCTCTGTCTTCGTGAGTTCAATTGTTTTAATTTTTTAGCTCCCAGAAATGAGTGAGAACATGAGAAGTTTGTCTTTCTGTGCCTGGCTAATTTCATTTAACATAATGACCTTCAGTTCCACCCATGTTGTTGCAGATGACAGGATCTCATTCTTTTTTTTTTTTTTAAATGGCTGAATAGTACTCCATTGTTTCTGCGTACCACACTTCTTTATCAATTTGTCTGTTGATGGACACTTAGGTTGATTCCAAATCTTAGCTGTTGTGAATAGTGCCACAGTAAACACGGAAATGCAGATATCTCTTCGATAAAACGAATTTCCTTTCTTTTGCATATACACCCAGCAGTGGAATTACTGGATCATATGGTAGCTGAATTTTTAGTTAGTTTTTTTTTTTTTTTTTTTTTTTTTTTTTTTTATTTTCTTTTTTTTTTTTTTTTTTTTTTTTTTTGAGAAACCTCCAAACTCTTCTCCATAGCAGTTGTACCAATTTACATTCCCACCAACAATGTACGAAGGTTCCCTTGTCTCCATATTCTCACCAGCATTTATTATTGCCTGTCTGTTGGATAAAAGCCATTTTAACTAGGGTGAGATAATATCTCATTGTAGTTTTGATTTGCATTGCTTTGATGATCAGTGATGTTTAGCACCTTTTCGTATACCTATTTGCCATTTGTATGCCTTCTTTTGAGAAATGTCTATTCAGATCTTTTGCTTATTTTAAAATCAGATTGGTAGTGTTAATAGATTTTTGGTAAAGAGATTAAGACAAGTATTTTTATGTCAATTGATATTAATATGAATATAATGGCTCCTAACTAAAATAGGATAAAGAAGAGATTTTACCATTTATCTTTGCAGCTATTGTTCCTGATATAGACGAAATTGCAGCTCAGGCAGAAACTATGTTTGCGGGAAGGTATAGTAACATTTATATATCTTTATCTTACTTGTGAATAAGATTTTACTTAGAATTTTATTGATACTTTAATATTGTTCACTTCTTATATCTATTTATTTTTAGACACTCTATGTTGCTAATATAATTTCTGCCAGAAATGAAGCTGCTAATTTACTCTAGAGGAGAAAGCATAGCTTTTCTTTAGGTCAGTTAAAAAAAAAGGACAAGAGAGATGAGATCAGTGTATTGAACTTTTCTCTGAATTCTTTGCTTTTCTTTCCTCAAATAATGACAGCCCAAGAATGCCCTTTAACTCCCCTGGTATAAATATCACTGCATCTTGTAAAACATTGCTTTCCTGAATCTTAGATATTTGAGACAAGAAAGTAATTATTTAATGCTATCATTAACTTTGTATGTGAGAAATAAAGCTATTTTCTGCCTATTGAAAATATCCATGATTAAATAAAACAAGACACCTTTGACATGACTAGCCTCCTTTGCCATCGGGAATCCTACCATTTATTGTTTTAATATTGTTTTTTTCTTTTTCAGAAATGAAATTAATAGCGATCAAAAAGAAAAAGTAAAATGTTTAAGCTATAAATTATTAAGCTTCTGGTGTTCATTTTTATTACAGACTTGACATGAGAACCTAAAAACAGTCTATACAGTAGTCTTCCCTTATCTGTTGGGGATACATTCAAAGACTCCCAATGGATGCCTGAAACCACAGCTAGTACCAAACCCTATATACACTATGTTTTTTCCTGTATATACATACCTATGATAAAATTTAATATATAAATTAGGCATACTAAGAGATTAACAACATAACTAATAATAAGATAGAACAATTATATAGTATGCCAGCATCACCGCTCTTGCACTATGGGGCCATTGTTTACTAAAATAAGGGTTACTTGAACAAATTCTGTGACTATCTGACAGTCACCTGATGACTGAGATGACTGCTAAGTGACTAATGAGGGGGAAAACACGTATAGCATGGAGATGCTGGCAAAGGGATGATTCATGTCCCAAATGGGACAGAGCAGGATGGCACAAAGTTTAAAGTTTGTGAATTATTTATTTCTGAAGTTTTTCATTTCATATTTTAGGACCGTGGTTGACCACGGGCAACTGAAACCACAGGAAGTAAAACCACAGATAAAGTTGGGGAGGGTAATGGGGACGACTACACTAAGCATTTTGTTGCAGTTTTTGTGGTTGTCATTGGAAAGACAACCAAGAATTAAGAATTAAGGGCACTCAAAAGGGATTTTTATCTCTACTGAACATTTAGTTTAGTTTAATTTTTACATTATAGTACCAATTTTTATTGTTGTATTTTCCTATTGAAGAATTTCATTATTCCCGAAGAGGGAACCAGTATATGATTTCACCTTGAAATAATAGATGGACCTTTTGTCCCAGAGGAAGCTCATCCAGAGTCCTAGTATGCCACACCTGTGGCTGCTCTAGTGATGGTTCAGGCACATGCACGTTGGCCTTTCCTGCTCCTCCCCACCTATCATGTAGTGGCCTCTAGGGCCTCAGGGGTAATCAGTCATTGGTGGACATCCAGCCTAGCACACCTTCTCCCATAAATGCTTTTGGATTGACTCAGATGCCCATCTTTTGTCTATGCCGAGGTGACCAACTCATCCCAGTTTGCCTAGGAACCCCAAAGTCTTGGATAAACCAGGATATTTGGTCATCCTGCTTTCATGGACAGACACCAGCGTTTCTTTGTGATTGTTTCGTCATTAGTTACATGAGGAAAACAAAGTAAAAATGTTTTCCTTTTCACTTCCTCATTTCAAAAAACAAATGATGTACCTTTGAGAATATGTATACAATTCTAACGCTAAAGATAGATGTTATATAAATGTGAGTCACTTTAGAATTATTTTTGGTTTATAGAAAGGAAAAAAACCCAGTTCAACTTGATGATGAAGGAGGCAGGACATTTTTACGGGTTCTCATTCATCTGATCATGCACGACTACCCGCCTTTGCTGTCTGGAGCCCTGCAGCTATTGTTCAAGCACTTCAGCCAGAGGGCGGAGGTTTTACAGGCATTTAAACAGGTAAGATTTAAGAGCTCTCAGTGCATCTACAGCAGAGGCTCTGAAAGTGATGTTCATAGTATCCAACCTGACTTTGTGGCTGCAGGGGTAATAACACTGTATGGCTGTTCCTGGGGACACTTTGTATTTTTAAACATTGATACAGCCTTGTCTATGCCAGGACACAATCTATTTAGAAGGTGTTCCCCACAAGTGATTTTTAGTTAATATCTTTAAAACAAATGAAAGGCACCAAGATTTAGGAAGGCACTAGAAGATAATAACACGTTAGGAATTTTGTTACCGCTGCTATTATTTTGACCTTAAATTTTACTAATGAATTTGGGCAGGAGAACCAATAGACGTGAAATAATTATTTTGTGATGGAAAACTGCATAAATCCAAAAGAAAGGAACTGTTATGGATCTAATCTTTTTCTTTGTGGTCTTTGAATGTGACATCAGTCTTGAGATTATTAATTAGTAATAATTAAGTGCTTACATATGCTTCACTAATATAATAGGGTATTGATCATTGAGGCAGTTTTATAGGAATATGTTAAAATAATATGAAATAATTAAAAGAGTAGTTGTATATTAATAAATGCATATATGTATATGTCATAATACATGTAAATTATAAGAAAATAAAAACTTGTATGATGAAGTTTAGATTTTATCTATTGATATTTTCTCCCACTTATTTTTATGTTTCTGACTCTTTTCAATCAGATAGTCAGTCTCAGAAAAATTAACTTCAGCAGTGAAATTAAAGTGAGGGTATCTTTTAATCTTAAATCACTTTGAAAAGTTTCGCTAGGGCTCACTTAAAAAATTATAATATATGAAAATATTGGTTAAGAGTTCACACTTACTTCCAGGTAGGTTTTCATGGTCAATATACATATAAAATATTCGAAAATGTTCTAGAAATAATGAACTTCAACTAAGAGATTGAAATTCTTCTGTTTTAGGTGCAATTACTGGTGTCTAATCAAGACGTAGATAACTACAAGCAAATCAAAGCAGATCTAGACCAGCTTCGACTGACAGTAGAAAAGTCTGAGCTATGGGTTGAGAAGAGCAGTAGCTATGAGAATGGAGAAATTGGGGAAAGTCAAGTGAAAGGTGGTGAAGAGCCAATTGAGGTTTGTTTCAAGATCTATTTTGAAATACTCCAAATGATATCTTTTAAGTCAGTTATGTAATCACATGCTCTACAATGAAAATTGTTCATAAAGAAAAATTCTGTTCTGAGCAACAGAGCACAAAATTTTCATTTACTAAGTTGTCAGTTAACTCCATAAACTAGCACTTTGGTTAGTGCTTGTCAATTTCTACCACTTCTTACCTCATCTGTCTTGTGTTTCACTCTTTGTCATTTCTACTGTAAATTCTATAATCCAGCAATCAGGAAAATTGGAAGGAGCGGAAGGAGAACAAAAGGAGTAGACCCTAAACTGAGGTCTATGGAGAGAGGTGAATTTTTATGGTTCCTTTCGCTGTGGCTGCTTTTTGCCAAGCAGTAAATCAGTGCTATCGTTATGCATATCCTTATATAAAAATATCTAAATGGAAGCCCAATATGCTTTATTTTCAGTATGAAAATACCAAAAATCTAAAGAGCGACTATTGTCTTCTGTTATATTGGCTTTTGTAGTGTGTTAATTAGTTTTCACATTTCACTAAGTACATATGACCATTTAAAAAATGTTAAATACTGCTTTAGTAGTCATGTTTAGATAAAGCAAGCTAGTACCAACATCATAATTGTTAATACGAAAAGTTTTGTAAATGCCTGTCTGGTGTTTTATATAGTTGTTTTTTAACCTGTAGGCATATAAACCATTTTGATGGGTTTACCTGCTTTTGCTTTTGTGTTTGTTAGATTACCCAAAATATTGTGAAGTGAAAAGTGAAAACAGAGCAAGAGATAATTAGAGTAATCAAAATGCTTTGGAAGCTTGTGACAAGATACTGGCACATGGGCTTCAATGCATACTCATGTTTACTGGGATTTCCTTTGCAGCCCTCACAGCCACAATTAGATGCCCTTTATTTCCCTTCTGGCTTTTAAGCTCCACATGAGTTTATCTCATTGGCAAAAGTTAAATTTAATTTAGAACTTCAGCTGCGGGGGAATTTGAGAAACCAAATCTGTGATACAGGGGAACCCTCTGGGGTAGGAATGAATGCTAAGTGTCAGGTAATAATATGCCTCATAGAAAGGACAATGCGTAGGTTATTAGCATGGGTTTTGGAATCAGACACTCCAGAATTTGCCACTTGGTGTATGCGTGACTTTGAACAAGTTATTTTTATTTTCTAACTTTTATTTTTATTGACTATAAAATGGACATCATAATGGTACTTAGCTCTTAGAATTGCTGTAAAGATTAAATGAGGAAACCCTATGCACATGGTGTGTCATTTAATATGGCTCCAGTGGGAAAATATAAACAACATAAAAATATGTATAATAAGATGACATATTACTTACCAACAAGTCAAGAAGTAAGTCTCCAGCTTTAATTCCTTGCCTCAGTGTTGGCATCATGGATCAATGGGCTTAGTTCTGAGGCCAGTCATTCTCCTGACGGCATCATGGCAGTAGCATCCTAGATATCACATCTGTGCACGACAACATCAAGAAGGAATATCTATTTCTGGGTCTCCTGTTTAAGAGTGAGGAAACCTTTCCTAGACATCCCTCACCTTATTTCATGTCTCTTTGGCCAGAACAGGGCCAGATGTTAAAACTACACCAGTGGAGTACAGGATTAGTTTAGATTACATAAAAGATGTCCCTCAAGGTAGGATATGCCACCCTGAGTTACATGGGAGAAGGATACATGGCCAAACAAAATTGGATTTTTCTAGCAGGGAAGAATAAGAAAGACTGTTGGTTAGCAACCAAAAGTGTTTTTCAGTCAGTGTTTGTTGTAATTATTATTTGTTTTTATGTGTAACACACTGTGTTGTTTACTATGATGGATATGGAATTATGAAATTTCAGAGTTATAAGATACTTGTAGGGATAATCACTTTCAATTCCCTATGTGATATATGTGTTCTCTTATCTCTAAATATCTCACCTGAGTGAGATTATTTCTTCAAACAAAGCAAACTTCTGTGACGGGAAATTCAATACCACCCAAGGTAGCATATTCTGTTGGCATTAAGGTATAGCTTAAGAAATAGAGTATTGCCAGTAAGAAGTTGATGTGGTCCCTCCCTGTATAACAGAGGAAACCACTATGATGAATTTATTTCAGCAACTTCCTTGCTTAGTAGTTTTACCATGTGTCTGTATTTCTAAAACATAAGAAATGTATGAGAAATATTTATTTAGCCTATTTTGTACATGTTTTCATTGTTCATCCTTGTTGATGTATAACTGCAACTCATTCATTTTCTCTAATATATGTTATTGCATTTATGCCTATGTTTATCCAGTTAGCTGTTGATGGGCATTTGGGCTCTTCCTGGTTTTGGTGTTTTAAAAGAAAATTTGCTACTAAGACCAGCGCTGCTGTGAAAAATGTTGTATGTCACCTGGTGCACATATTCGGGAGATTCTCTGGGCTGTCTCCATAGGAGTAACACATGCAGTATGTTCCCCTCTACCAGACAATGCCAGGTGTTTTCCCTCCACTTGTGTATGAGAGTTCTCATAGCTCCCCATCCTTATGATGGGTGTTTTTCTCACTTTCCCACTTTTGAAGATTGAGTACACTTGATATATTATCTCTGTTGTGATTTTCATTTTGCTGAATTACTTATGAGGATGAGATTTTTCTTTTTTATGTTTATATGCCATTTTACTTCTTCTTCCAGTTTAGATAAAGCTAAATTCTGTACAGGCAGGTAGTTCAGTCCTACCAATTCGTGTGTACCTACTAATAAGGTTAAACATATTTGTTCACTTCAAGTCAGGTTAATGTTATAAGTTCAAACTTGAAGATGATCTTTTATTTCTTTTTTTCTTGCTTTATTGTGTTTATAGAATTTTCTAGGACAAGGTTAAATAGAAGTGGTAATAATGGGCATCCTTGTCTTGTTTCTGATTTTAAAGGGAATGGTTCTAATATTTCACTATTAAATAAAATATTTACTGTATGTTCATTTATAGATACCCTTTATTGAGGAGCACGTTCTCTTCCTAGTTTACTTTTTAAAACTACAAATGGTTATTGACTTTAATTAAATGTAATTTATGCGTCTATTGATTATATATTTTTTAATTTAATCTTTTCATCTTAATGACATAAATCTTAGAGCTTCTACTATATTCTAGGTTTAAAATATCTAGGTGATTTTTTTTTGCATTGCTAGATTCTGTTTGCTAGTACTTTGTATAGAATTTTACATCCGTGCTGCCAGTGAAATTAGCCTGTAATTTTCTTTCTTTATTCCTTCCTTTCTTCCTTCTTTTCTTCTTTTTTTTTTTTCTGTTCCTATCAAGTGGCGGTATTGAGCTTAGACTAGTCCCATAAAACAAGCTATAGAATATTCCCTTTTCTTTGTGTAAGATTAGAATGATCTGTTCATAAATGTTTGGTAAAACCTGTCTGCAAAACTGTCTGAGCCTGATATTTACATTGTGGGAAGATTTTGACTACTAATTCAATTTTTTAATGGTTATAAATTCATTCAAATTTTCCATTTTGAGTTAATTTGTTTTGTATTTTTCTAGCCATATATTGAAATTTTCAAATTTATTGGCATAAATTTGTTCATATTCTTTTGCTATCTTTTAAATTTCTGCTGTATTCATAACTTTGTACTCCCTTTTCATTCTTCATATGTTTTGCTATGGCTTTCTTCTTTTCCCTAGCCCTACTAGCTCAATCTTGCCAGAGTTTTATGTACAGTTTACCCTTGAACAGTATTTGGGGAATGGGTATGGGTGCCAACCTCCTGTACAGTTGCAAATTTCTTTAATAATTTCTGACTCCCTCAAAACTTAATTACTGATTGCCTGTTGTTTACTGGAACTCTTACTGATAACATAAACAGTCAGTTAACATACATTTTCTGTGTTGTGTGAATTACATAGTGTAAAATAAGCTAGAGAAAAGAAAATGTTAAGAAAATCATAAGGAAGAGAAGATGTATTTACTACGTATTAAGTGGAATTGGATCATCATAAATGTCTTCATCCTCATCATCTTCATGTTGAATAGGCTCAGGAGGAGGAGGAAGAGGAAGGGTTAGTCTTGCTGTCTCAAGGGCAGCAGAGGTAAAATATGTATATAAGTTCAAATTCATATCGTTCAAGGTCACCTGTATTTTATTCATCTTTTAAACATAGTCTGTTTTTGGGTTTGTTGAGATTCTGGATTTGTTTGCTATTTTATTATACTTACCCTACTATACTCCATCTTTTTATGTTGACAGACTTTTTGATTTAAAAAAAGTTGGTGGTATCATTTCTTCCTAAGGAGCTGCATTCCCTGAGTTTTGACAAATGATACTTTTATTATTTTTCAATATTAGATATTAAAAATGTTTCCATTGCGAGTACTTTGGCTTAGAATTACTTGGAAGTGAGTTTTTAAATTTCTACATGCATAGGTTAAATTTACCTTTTTTGTTAATTGAATTCTTAATTAACTCGTGACAAGATAATTTAGTTATTATGGTATCATTTCTCCAAAATTCAGTGAGACTTGCTTTTTGGCCTATTATACATCTAGGTTTTGTAAGTGTCCAACGTGGCTTGAGAAGAATGTGAATGGGTGTAGGATTCTTTATATATGACTGGTGAATCAAGCTTATTAATTGTGCTTAAATAGTATATTTAATAATATTTTAATTTTCTTAACATATCAATAAGTGAGAGAGATTTATTGGCATTTCCCACTACAATGGTAGATTTATCAATTTCCCCTTGCATTTCTGTTAAGTTTTACTTCATGCAGTTTGAGACTATGTCATTAGAAGCCAGTACATTTGAAATTATTATATTTTTACTGCAGGACAAAAAGGTTTATCAACTGTGAGTTATTTCCCCCCCTCTTGTGATTATTTTATTCCATGTCTTCTGGCTTCCATTGCTGCTGTTGAGAAGTTTGCTCACCGTTAAATAGTGGTGCTTTAACTTTGAAACTCAAATTAAGTGCATGTTGAACTTTATTAGTTAATA